CCCGCCAAAACATGCGTATTTTATCCTCGGAACGCGATTTTTAACTGGGACCCCCTTGAAACGCGATTGGGCGGGTTTTGTTGAAAACATGGCAACCTCTTCTTAAAAGCAGTGGCGACCTCAAGAGGAGGAAACGTTAGGTATTATAATTATTATAAATTCATACATTTTAAATTATTATTAGTTTTTTTTAAGTAAAATACCCCTTCATAAAATTACAATACAACCATTATTTGAAATACAGTTGGACAAACAAACACTAGATGAAAAACTTACATTTGTACGAAAATTAGAAATGTAAAGGTAAATGAAACAAAATCAAGTTTTCCATCTTTATTTCAATTAATGAAAAAACATGAGTATTTTTAGTTTTGGTTAAAACTTCAACTTAAACGTTTTAAATTTCCATTCAAGTTTAGGTTACAGTACTAAAATGACTAAAACTATTCATATTTTTCCCATTAACTGACATAAATATAAAATAAAACAGAACATATTAGATGAAAACCCTAAACTGAAAGCTTGAACAAAAATCAGAAATGTTGCCTTATTTGAGTTAGATTTAGCAGAAATCCACAGTTAATTAACCTTTAGCAGTTATTAACATTGTTCGAGTTAATTTGGCGCTGTCACCGCTATTATAATCTCCTCAAACCCTGGTCTGGGAAACTCTAATTTAGGCCAGAAATGACTGACTGATGAGTAAATACTGATATTAACATCAACAACAGCAACTGAACACTTATTTTAAGTAGAGTTTAGAACCAACACGAATGACTGCTTCTGTTAATGATGGTGATTTACATATTGGTCTGTTACTAACCAAAACCCTCAAAGACTAAACCAACCAATGATAAACACCCAAAATATCACCTAAAAACATCCCCAACAAAACACCCCTAAAACAGCAAATGCCTAAACCAAAAACAAAATGAACCCTAAACACTAAATTCAAGAAAACCCAAACAAACACTGAACTCTGACAGTTCAACTCAAACATAAATACTAAACCCTCAAATACTGACCCAAAAAATAAACCCTGAAAAATAAACCCCAAGTCTAATACTAAAATGTTCAAACACTGAACCAATAAATATGAAACCCTCAAAATACCACCTTAAACCATTGAACGCCAACACCCACAAAACATCCCAAACAACAAACACCTAAACCAAAAACAACATAAGCCCCAAACTACTTCAAATACTAAACATTAAAGCAAATAAATACTAAACTCCCCTCTGAAAGTTAAACTCAAACATAAATACTAAACCCTCAAATACTGACCCAAGAAAAACATCCAAAACACCTAAACCAAAAACAACAAGCCCCCAAAAACTAAATCCAAGAAAACCCAACATTAAATCAAAGAAACACTCAATCCATCAAACACCAAAACCCTCAAAGACTAAACCAACCAATGATAATAAACACCCAAAATATCGCCTAAAAACATCCCCAACAAAACACCCCTAAAACAGTAAATACCTAAACCAAAAACAAAATGAACCCTAAACACTAAATTCAAGAAAACCCAAACAAACACTGAACTCTGACAGTTCAACTCAAACATAAATACTAAACCCTCAACTACTGACCCAAGAAAAACATCCAAAACACCTAATCCAAAAACAACAAGCCCCCCAAAAACTAAATCCAAGAAAACCAAAGAAACACTCAATCCATCAAACACCAAAACCCTCAAACATTAATACAGGGCTTCAGACTAACATTTGAGAGCAGTGAGAGAGTTCTAGGTGGGTCTGTGTGAGGGAATATTAAAAGTATTTTCTATTTTCTATTAATAATTTCTATTGTTTTGCATTAATAACTGCAGTTACTAATAATATTAAATGTTTATTTCTTGGTAATATAATTTGACAGTAAAGCTTGAGTTTGGAGGCATACAAAATATATTTTTATTAACAACAGTAACGTGCAAAAAAATTTATATATAGAAAATTTATATGGTCTACTCTTATTAAATGTACCATTATTCTTCTACAGTATTAGTATACATAAGTGACCGGCGACAAAATCCGTGATTATAAAAGGAACACTCTTTTTGTGTGATTCAGTCGCAAATTGAAGAAAAGTTTGTTTTTCAAGGCACTTTGTTACTTTTCTTACTTCATGCACGAAAAAGTGCAAAACTTTGACAATTTGATTTCTTGATTTGATATTTTATAATAGTGATTTTATCATTTCGAAAATATAAAGCAAAAAAGTACAAATGAATGACTAATGAGCCAATAAGTGCTCCTCTGCTGCCATCTACTGGTTATAGTGATAGGGCTCATTTGAATTTTTTTATATTTTACACGTGTTTGTTTACCACAAAGTATATTTTGGTCATCCCTTTAAAACAACATTCAAATTGGATAATTTTAGAGCTTTAAAGTACTGGAAATAGTTGTGTGAAAAGCTTGAAAGTCCGAGCTGATAAACGGTCTAATACTTTAACCTTCATACACTAAAAATCCAAGAAAACACCAAATTAAACCAAACAAATACTTAACTCAGACACTAAAACCTTCTGACAGTTAAACTCAAATATCAGATACATAAATACTCGCATATTGACTCCTATAAACAACAATTTAAAAAGTAGCCTAAACACCATAATATTAAAGCCCCAAACCCCTAAAGTCTAATACTTAAACCTTCAAACAACCTCAAACCAGCCCTGAACACTGAAACAAGAGGAGTTTCAATGAGTTCAATGACTGATTGCTAATCAAATTCTGATATTAGCATTTACGATTTAATGACAGCAAGTGTGACACATAATACTGCTTAAGTGAAATAAACACTTCCTATACACAATATTATCAGCAGTTTAGAACTGATGCAAACTGACTAAAACCGTCAAACACTAACCAATATTAAACCCCCTAAAACACCAGCTAAAACCCCTTAAACAACAACACAACCAACAAACCGTGCAAAAAAGAGTAAACACCTAAACCAAAAACGTAACCCAAACACTTAATCCAAGAAAACCCAACATAAAACCAAACACTCAACCTATCAAACACTAAAACCCATCTGACAGTTAAACTCAAACATAAGATACATAAATACTAAACTCTCAAATACCGACACTAAAAAACAAACCCCAAACGTCTAAAACTTAACCTTCAAATCACCTCTGAATAAATAAACACCTAAACCAAAACAACATAAACCCCAAACATTAAACTGCCATAAATACTAAACCCATGAAAACCCAACATTAAACCGAAGAAATAGCCTTCTCAACCCATCAAACACTAAACCCCCACTGACTCAAACAACAGATAAATAAATACTGGCCCCTAAAATAAACCCCAAAATATAAAAGTCTATACTAAAACCCCCAAATACTAAACTACATCAAATACTAAATCCAAGAAAACCCTATATTAAATTAATTAATTATTCAAACCAAACACTAAAAACAGTTAAGCATACACATAAATGCTGCTAAACCCCCAAAACATCTAAACAACACTTCAAAATAAACACCATAACATAAGTCCCAAACCCTACATGGCCAATACCTAAACCTTCAAACCAGCCCTGAATTTTAATGAGTAAATGACTGACTGCAGATTAAATACTGACATTTAGCTACACTTTAACAACAGAAACATCATTGCTGAAATAAACACTTATTTTCCACAAGTGTTTAGAACCGAAGCAAATGGACATTAAGATGATGATCAAACACGTAGTGTTACATTACTATCAAAAAAGCCCTCAAACACCAAACCAACAAATATTAAACTCAGATATATAGATACTATAAATATAAATACTAAAACCTCAAACACTGACCCACCAAATGACTCTAACAACCCTAAAAATAAACTTAAGGTCCCAAAAGTCTAACATTAAACCGAAAAACTGCAACATTAAATCCAAACAAACACCAATCCAACGAATACTAAACCCCTCAAAAGACTCAATATTAAAGCAAACAATAATTCAAACCAAACACTAAAAGCCATCTGACAGTTAAACACAAACATCAGATACATAAATACTAAACCCCCAAAACATCTAAACCTTTCAAAATAAACACCACAAAATAAAAGCCCCAAACCCTAAATGGCCAATACTTGAGCCCTCAAACCAGCACTGAACACTCAAAGCAAATGACTGGCTGACAATTAAATACTGACAACTTAACGACAGGAATGTGACACATGAAATAAACACTGATTTTACACAGTACTGTCATGGAGTTTTGAACAGACGCAAATGGACATGAAGATGGTTATGATTATATAAACACATGACATAGTGTTTTAATTGATACGATCAAAAATCCCTCACAAACACCATACCTACAAATACTAAGCTCAAACACAATAATTATAAATACTAAAATCTCAAATACTGACCCACCAAATGACCCCAAACAACCCTAAAAATAAGCTTAAGGTCCCAAAAGTCTAACACTAAAACCTTCAAACACTAATCCGAAAAACTGCAACATTAAACCCAAACAAACACCAATCCAGCAAATACTAAACCCCCCAAAAGACTCTCTCTGACACTAAAACCCACAGATGCTGAGCTCGTTTGAGGCTCGAACACACTCCAGCCCTCAGGGTTCCGGTGTTTATTCTGGGTGTTTTTAGCGTGTGCTGTAGTGCTGTAATAGTGGGCTTGGGCTCGGATTCTGCGAGGCGCTGCGCGTCTCTTCCTAAAACGGGCATCGGCTCAAATGGCGTCCGCGGCGGCTCTTACCATGTCTGCGGCGCTCGGTGGCGGTGTCTGCGGGACTGAAGGCGGGTTCGGTTCGCTGTGCGGTTCTGTTCGGGTCTGTCTGGACGCGGTTCGGCTTCGACTCTCTGACGGAACCCTGCCCTGTCAGCGCTGCACTTCCTCATCCGAGCTCCTGCGGGGGAGGGGCGCGGCTTGCACATCCGGGTCATTCCGCTCCGATGCCGCGCGGACCAATCACAGGCGCTTCAGTAAGGCATAGCCAAATATAGAAGAAGAGGGGCGTGGCGGAAGCGAGGAGGGCGGAGCGTGGGGCGTGCGCTAGAGGGCGGCAGAGAGCAACGCTAATCTGACTCAAGTCTTTATCAGAAAACAATAACATTAGACAAAAATAACCACCATTTATTACCTTATCTCATAATGTAGCCTTTCAAACATTAGAACACAAAACGAGAAACTTATAAAAACAATAGAAACATTTATATTTATATTTATTTGTATATTTATTATTTATATTTAAGTTATAGGATGTGTTTAGGTTGTTATGTTTATTTATTTTTATTTTTTTATTTTAATTCAGTTTTGTCTTTTGCGCTTTGTATTTGGTTGTTGTTTTATTTCACGTTGTCTGAATAAGACTTCTTCAAAACAAGAAGCCAGAATGAAAACAAAGAAGAGAGCAGCATTTTTAGAGACAGAGAAAAAAGTTTCATATAAACAATGAATTGAAAACAAATGAGACAATGAAAAATGAATTATATAAATATGTAAACAGCATCAGGATGTTTTATTCTTTATTTATATTTAATTCTTATATTTATTTATCTATTTGATATCTGCTTTAATCACTGTTAGCTTCATATGATTCAGATTTTACTGTGTAAGGAGAATTATTGTAGCCTATCTGAGGGTCTCAAATAATAGCAAACCCAATAAAACACATAAAGATTATTATATTTATTTATAATAAAAACAAGAATCTTCTGTCATGAAGACAAATTCCTTGCATGTGCAAACACACTTGGCAATAAAGCTCTGATTCTGATTCTAAACACTCTCCATAAAACATCGTTTCAGTATATTTGAACAGTGATAACTGAATTAGAATACAAGTTGTTAACATTTCAGCGTGTTTTATCAATGCTTCGAAATAGTTTTGTCAGGAGCGAAAGAAGATCTGAGAACTGAGTGCCGCTCTAGATTCTCGCGAGATCTGCAGAGCTCCCAGCTACATACGAACTAGGACTCGAAACTCTCGCGATATCTGCAGAGCGGCGCGATGAGCGGATGACAGCCCAAGAAACACGTTATAAACTGCATCAGTTATTCATAAACTGCATAAATAACAGCAGAAAAGTTTACTGGCTGGACCGAGACGTGTATAAACACTTTTGGAGCTGCAAATGTCATGAATCCGTGTCAAATAAATATGAATGTGATTATTTATTCATATATCCACGTATATGTGGAGTACAAAACCAGTCATAAGGGTCAATTTTTCGAAATTGAGATTTATGCATCATCTGAAAGCTGAATAAATAAGCTTTCCATTGATGTATGGTTTGTTAGGATCGGACAATATTTGGCCGAGATACAACTTATGACACAGAGATACTGTTTGTATTTGTTTTCATATTTAGGATATGTGAGTCAATATGAGTCCAGAATGTGTCCTGGCCATTTCTGCTGGTTATGAACGTGAATATTTCCCAGTCAATGTGATGGCGTGATTAATCCAGGGCTGTTTGGATCGGTCTGGGCACGTCTGCTGTAATTAAACCCCTGAGCCGAGTGTGTGTGTGTGAGAGTGTGTGTGTGTTTGTGTGTGTGTGTGTGGTGGGTTTGTGTGTGTGTGTGTGTGTGTGAGAGTGTGTGTGTGTGAGTGTGTGTGTGTGTGTGTGTGTGTGTGTGTGTGAGTGTGTGTGTGTGTGTGTGAGTGTGAGTCTGTGTGAAAAAAAAGTCAAAAAGTCAGAATTGCGAGAAAAATCTGAATTGCGAGATATAAACTACAATTCAGAGAAAAAAGTAAGTGTGAAGGAAAATTCAGAATTGCGAGACGTAAACTCAAAATTGTGAGAAAAAAATCAGAATTGTGAGGAAAAAAGTCACAACTACCTTTTTAATTTTTTATTCCGGGCGGAAACGGGCTTCCGCAGCTTTCTGTGCATGTGCAAGACTGCCGCTTCATTAGCTGCTACCGTATAACAATGAAGACACGGATTCTCGGAGCACAAGTATAGCTCAAATATATTTAGACTTTTTCTAAGTAGAAGTCAAGTATACTTAAATGTCATTTTAAGTATATTTCTGAGAAGTACATAAAGCCCATTTCTGAGAAGTACATAAAATATAAAATTAGACTGAAAGTATACTTTCCTATTTTTTAGTTTAAAAGAAGTATACTAATAGCACACTTGAATAAACGTCTTTTTCGTAAGGGTAACGAGGTCTGCTGTGTGGGTTTATTGTGTTTAAAGCATGTGTGCAGTGTGTAGCTGTTGAATTGAGACGCAGCCGCGGTCTGAGGGAGGAGTTTGGTGGTATTTCCCTCACTGATGAAGTCGAGGGGATGTTGTTTGGTGTTTTGTGGTTTTGTCTGACATTTGGAAGTTGTGTAATCGGCGACTCTGAATCCAATTAGAGGAGCGCGGAGAGAGTTTCTGGGTGTTATTTTAGTACAATTTTTACAGTACTTCATACATTTTGAGCCTTTATTTCTGCGTTTTCAGATTACTGCCTCTCTCTCACAGGACCAGCAGAAGAGTCTCTTCATCATCATCATCATCATCATCGCTGCTGGTTTTCATCACTTCCATCTGCTGAATGAACGGCGTCAGGCGTCGTGTTTGAGCGCATGATGAAGTGCTTACAGTGTGTGTGTGTGTGTTGTGTGCTAATGAGTGTGTGAGCCGGACTACCACTGCTCTGGAATCAGAGCCAGATTCAGCACCTGCAGGAGAGAGAGAGACAGCTGAAACCCTCCTGATGAAGAGATTAGAGAAATCAAACGCTAGTCTGCCATATTAACACTCCAACATGACCGCAAACACACTCCATACACACCGCTGCAGGCTCTGATGAGCTGCCCTGATTGTGTTCACATGAGAGTGTGTGTGTGAGAGAGAGTGGTTTTATAGTATGTAAGTGTGTGTGTGTGTGTGGTTATATATTATGTAAGAGTGTGTGAATGTGTTTATATATATATTGTGTGTCTGTGTGTGGTTATATTGTATATTATGTAAGTGTGTGTGTGTGGTTATATATTATGTAAGTCAAGTCAAGTCAAGTCACCTTTATTTATATAGCGCTTTTAACAATACAGATTGTGTCAAAGCAACTGAACAGCATTAATTAGGAAAATAGTGTGTCAATAATGCAAAATGACAATAGTAAACACTAATTTTTCAGTTAAAGACAGTTCATCATTGAATTCAGTGATGTCAACATCCAGCTCAGTTTAAATAGTATCTTTGCAATCAAGTCAACGGTATCGCTGGAAATGAAGTGTCCCCAACTAAGCAAGCCAGAGGCGACAGCGGCAAGGAAACAAAACTCCATCGGTGACAGAATGGAGAAAAAACCTTGGGAGAAACCAGGCTCAGTCGGGGGGCCAGTTCTCCTCTGACCAGACGAACCAGCAGTACGGAAAAATCAATTTAAGACGTAATAAAACAGACGATGAACACTATTAACAGCAATTATTATATGATGCAATCAAACTTATAGCAAAATGTGGTAGTTCTGTATGTTGTTTCAGGGTTGGCATCATCTGAGGTCCTCTGAGGGGTTGGCATCATCTCTTCTCAGGTGTTCTGGATCCAGACTGAAGCTTGTGTAAATCCTAGTTACCACGGGATGTCAATCCCAGCAGAAACAGAGAAACAAATAGAGACATAATTAGCGTAGCTGCTGTTCCAACCAAGCAAAATTGATTTGTTTAACCCAAACTAAAGAATAATAATGTGCATTTGATCAGATATAACTGCAGTAAAAGATTATGAGATGCATTATTTGAATGCTTGGCCAAAGAGATGTGTCTTTAATCTAGATTTAAACAGAAGGTAAAACCTTGTTGCGTGTACCGTGTTAGGCTAACCGAGACTTGTTACTTCACTAACATATCGTTGCTCTCTTGTTGGTTTTCGATTGCTTCTGCTGTCCTCATTTGTAAGTCGCTTTGGATAAAAGCATCTGATAAATGACTAAATAAATAAATAAATTAGGAGTGTGTGTGAGTTTTTGTGTTTTTATATATATACTGCGTGCGTGAGTGTGTGAATGTGTTTATGTATTGTGTGTGTGTGTGTGTCATATATTGTGTATGTGTGTTTAGAAACTAGGAGTGTGTGAGAGTGTTTGTGTGTTTATATATATATACTGTGTGTGTGAATGTGTTCATATGTATATATTGTGGAACTCACACACATACACACACACACACACACACTCGTCATGACAGCGCAGGAATTCAAAACGTTCACGCATCACAGGAGACAAGAAGATGCTCAACACACGTCGACTTGTAGATCTGAATCTTAAAGAGACAGCTCAGATGAGATGATCGCTCTGTTTACTCACCCTATCATTTCAAACCCATTTTGACTTTCTTTCTTCTGTGGAAGATATTTAGCCATATGTTCATGCTGCTCTTGTACATACAGTGAAAGTGAGCAGTGAGCAGAGGCTCTCCAACTCCAAAAAGGTTTAAAAAGACAGTAAAAAAACTATGATAAAAGTTCAAAATCACTCGTGTGTTATATTTCAGTTGTTCTGAAGTCATCTGATGTGAGAACTTTGGTGAAAGACTTTCAGTCCATTCCTCACACAAAATAATCTCACTAGAGGTGCTCTCACTTTTATTATTGCTCAGCAAAAATTTTTGGTGAAATCCAGCTCATTTCCATGGGAATCCACACGTTTGTCATGGAGTTCGTCGCAAGTTAGTCATGCGAATTTGTCACGTTGACTGACAGATAACTGCTTGGTTTGAAAGTGTCTCCTGTGTGAGCTGTGCTTCATGCATCGCTACGCTATTGACAATGGACCATTTTTGCAAAATTGCATTCAGATGCACTGCTTTTCCATTGTTTTCCATGCACCGTGTGTTTTTTGACCATTTTGGCGTCTGCAGCGCTTAACGTTACGTTTTCGCCACTAGAGGTCGCATTTTCAAAACAATAACAAAGGCGAAGCT